ATGAAAAAGAGAAATCAATATAATTGGCTATAAATTATTGGCATCTTTTCAGAGAGATTTTCTCAATAAAGTAACGGTGAATTCCCAAAAATTCTTATGCCTTTGTTAAAGGATTCAAAACAAACACATATTCTGGCTGGGCAGGTGGCTCACGCCTGTAATCACAGCACTTTGGGAGGCCAAGGAGGGCGGATCACTTGAGGTCAGGAGTTCAAGACCAGCCTGGCCAGTATGGTGAAACCCCGCCTCTACCAGAAATACAAAAGTCAGCCGGGCATGTTAGCGGGTGCCTGTAATCCTAGCTACTTGGAAGGCTGAGTCATGAGAATTGCTTGAACCCGGGAGGCAGAGGTTGCACTGAGCCGAGGTCGCACCATTGCACTCTAGCCTGGGCAACAGAGGGCGACTCCGTCTCAAAAAAAAAAAAAAAAAAAAAAAAAAAAAGACACCTCATATAGTCTACAAAGCAAATGATAAAAATCAAAATATGCCAATGGGCTGAGAGGAAAGGGAAACTAGTAGTATTAAAGCAAGTATTTAATGAACAAATAATGCTAAGGCAAAATTTTTGTTTGTTTTCGTTTTTTGGTTTTTGGGTTTTTTTTTTTTTTTGAGACAGAGTCTCACTCTGTCGCCAAGGCTGGAGGGCAGTGGCACTGTGTCAGCTCACTGCAACCTCCGTCTCCTGGTTCAAGCAGTTCTCCTGTGTTAAGGCAAATTTTTAAGGATTTTAAATAGTAAATATTAGAAGGGCTACTGCTTAAAAATAAACAATTTGGATAGAGAAATGGTCTTCAGATTATTTTGATTGTACAATATGTAAAACAGTTTTGAAAACTTTAGGCATTCCTTTGAATATTATTAACTTGATTTCTGAAACTTTTCATCAAAAGATAAATTGTTTTGTAAATAAAAGGAAACATTAAACATGTTATAAGATGAAATAAGATGAAGACTGACTATAATTAGAGTAACTATTTCATGGTATGAGTTTATTTTAATAAAAGTTTTAACCACTTTATTGTATAGTTCATATCAAGTTTTTTAAATATATATTGAAACTTGGTGCTCTGGGAAAATATCCCAGCTTCATTTGAAAGAACCAGTTCCTATCCTGTACTGCTTCAGTTATTCTGAATTCAGAACATTCCCACTCTGGCCAGTCCTCTCTTTAATAAAACATACAATACTCTGAATATTCTCAGTGATTAAAAAAAAAAAAAAAAAGACACACAGCAGACAAAAGAAGAGGGAGCAGGCAAACCAAGAGCCAAGGCAAATGTGTTAATCATTAGCAGGTTATCCCCAAACCAATATTTGGAAGTACCCCTTTGTTGACAACCAGAAAGTGTTTACACTTCAGGCATTGCACCAAAATAAAGTGTGGATGCCTTTCTTTTCTAAAGTGGAAGGAGGGATATTGTGGACATAGGCACATTATCAGGCAATTTTAAGAAATAAGTTGAAATTGATGGAAATTGAGAAAGGCTTTGGAAAGTGTTTGCCTGCCTCTACCACCAAAAAGTCCATGGAGAAAGAAAAGCAAAAGGTCCAAAAATGAAAGTCAGCAGAAACTAGAAAGATGGGCAACAAAGTTTTACCATATAGATAAATAGATGAGAGAGTCTTAGTAAAGAAAACACAACAAATTGAGAACAATCACTAAATAAAAACAAAATCGAAGGAAACTCTAAGACCACCAGCCAAAAAGCAAGGGAAAATGATTAACACCTTGGGACACCTTGGTGAAGAAATTCCAGGGTAAAGAGAATCCTATAGCACCTAGCCTAAACATGGCTCTCCTACAAAAATTAGCTGACCAACTAGACTTCCTCATATTGGACATCAGAAGAGACTAGCAGGAAGTCAATACTGTTCTGAATAAGACAAATTGCAAAACAAAATTTCTGTTGCCAGCTAAGTTAATATTACAATGTATTAAGGCGCCACAGTGATCATGTAGAGTACTAAGAAAGAAATTCTTCACTATTCTGGGACTCAGAGTCTCATCCAAGTACTGCTCCAAAAGATACTCCATTGAAATATTTTGAGATGAGGAAGGATAAAGGATGGACATGAAAAAACAAAACAAAAAACACTTCATTGTCCAGGGCTATGCTAAGTGAGCAAGAAGTGTCCAGTACTCAAAATTAAGGAGGCACTCACTCTTATGTGCTAATTCGATTCTTCATGAGCCTGAAAAAGGACGCCTCCTTAAATATTGCTCCCTGGGCACTTCACTTGCCTCACCTTGGTTTCAGTCCTCAAATTATGTTCAAATAACAGTGGCAAGTATAATACCCAATAGAATGCAAACGCTATAACTCTTGTATGGAAACTACTCAATGCAAAATTAATACATTAACTGCAAAACGTCAGAGCAAAATTTCCAGAGAGCAGTAATGAAACCAAGAGTGAGGTGACAGGATACCTCAGTGTATCTGTTTTCTTATTATATGTAAGGAGAGAGACATGGCTGGGCATGGTGGCTCATGTCTGTCATCCCAGCATTTTGAGAGGCCAAGGCAGGAGGATCCCTTGAAGCCAGGAGTTTCAGACTATCAGACTAACCTGAACAACACAGCAAGATCCCTGTATCTACAAAAAAAAAAAAGCTGAGAGTCAACAGCTGCTTTTTTACTATATAGGTTATTAACTTGAGAAATAAAACATTAAAAGAACAATGAATTTGGGAGCACACCACAGCAAAATGTAATCTGCCCACAAAAGTGGTCTTAGAGGAGAAATTTCCCTCTAAGCTTTAACCTGTTTCATAATTAAATACAAATGAATGAAAAATAAATAAAGTAAGTATCCAAAACAAAATTTATATGAAGTAAAGCAAAGGGAAATAGGACATAAGCTTGATAAAAGATAAAGCTAATAGATTATAAAATAAAAAGACGGCCAGGAGCAGTGGCTCAAGCTTGTAATCCCAGCACTTTGTGAGGCCGAGATGGGCGGATCATGAGGTCAGGAGATCGAGACCATCCTGGCTAACACGGTGAAACCCCGTCTCTACTAAAAAAATACAAAAAACTAGCCGGGCATGGTGGCGGGCGCCTGTAGTCCCAGCTACTCGGGAGGCTGAGGCAGGAGAATGGCGTAAACCAGGGAGGCGGAGCTTGCAGTGAGCTGAGATCTGGCGAAGGCAGGTGGATCATCTGAGGTCAGGAGTTTGAGACCAGCCTGGCCAACATGGCGAAACTCCGTCTCTACTAAAAATACAAAAATTAGCCAGACATGGTGGTACATGACTGTAATTCCAGCTACTCGGGAGTCTGAGGCAGGAGAATCACTTCAATCCGGGAGGCAGAGGTTGCAGTGAGCTGAGATCAAGCCACTGCACTCCAGCCTGGGTGACAGAGCAAGACTCTGTCTCAAGAATAAATAAATAAATAAATAATAAATAAATAAATAACAAGCTATTCTTAAAATTAGTAAATGACTAAGTAGTCTAATGAAGGAGAAAGAAAGCACACATGCAATTGGGTCAGAAGTACAAAGAAGCTAAAACCTCAGATATAGATAAAATGAATATATTATTAAAAAGTTAGTCTGATAAAACAGTTGAAAATTTTGCAAATATACTGTAAATAGTGTGTAAAATAGATGATCCTCCAAGATAACATAAATGGTCAAAATTGATCAAAGAAAAACACAGAACCCCTTAAAAGACCAATAACTGAAGGAAATTGAGAAAGTTATCAAATAAGTCTCCTCAAAATGGCTTTCAGCCTGCATAATTTTTACAAACCAATGCTTTCAAGCTTTCAAATAACAATAGCAATTATAAAAATTCCATTATAGTCAATCTTTTTCAGAGTAATGAGGAAAAAGGAAAGTTCTCCTTTCTTATTTTTGAAATCAGCATAAGCTGCATATCCAGACACGAAAAAGATACACAAAATACATGTGTGCATACAGAGCCAATCTCATATATCATCAGTACATCAGCCAAAGTCCTAAATAAACTATTAGTGAATCAAATTCTGTTGTACATCAAAAGAATATTCAAGGGAAAGCTCAACATTAAGAAATACATTAATATAATTCACAATATTTAACAGTCAAGGAGAAAAAGCAGGTCATCTCATCATTAGATAGATGACAATAGGTTATTTGAGAAAAGTGAGTTAATTTTCATGACTATTAATGTTAGAAACAATCCTTTAGGGATGGGGAGGGGAGATGAGTTAGAAATGTTTCCTACCAGTTCACAATTGCATCTATTCTGAAGCCATTAGGAATGTGAATGGTAACTCTTCCTCAAACCATCACATGAGGAAAGAATACCCTGAAAGTCTGACACACCAAAGTCATCTGTCAGGAATCAGTCAGAGAACCTGCTGGGAATACCTAGGCATGCTGAGTCATCATTGTTCTTACCACCCGTGGCAACTGATGCAATTGGAAGCAAATGATGCTTTCAGGGTCATGGTTTCTTCGAAGCCTGAGCTCATTAATTTTGCTGTTTGAGAACTTGCAGTTTGATCCAAAAGCTGACAGCATCAATTATCCCATTGCCTTCCTTCCTGCTCTGATACTGGAAGTTCCAAGAAAAGAGGAGGTGGAAGAGGACCAAGAAGAACATGAAAGCAGAGGACCAGGAGCCGGACACGGTGGCTCAAGCCTGTAATCCCAGCACTTTGGGAGGCCGAGGCAGGCGGATCAGTAGGTCAGGAGATCGAGACCATCCTGGCTAACATGGTGAAATCCCGTCTCTACTAAAAAATACAAAAAATTAGCCGGGGGCGGCGGCGTGCGCCTGTAGTTGCAGCTACTTGGGAGACTGAGGCAGGAGAATGGCGTGAACCTGGGAGGCGAAGCTTGCAGTGAGCCAAGATTGAGCCACTGCACTCCAGCATGGGCAACAGAGCAAGACTCTGTCTCAAAAAAAAAAAAAAAAAAAAAAAAAGCAGAGGACCAAGACCCCTTCCCAACTGCTCCATAGGTCAAAACGAAGTCAAACAGAGCAGAAGCTCTCAAAAGGATGATACTTTGAATTTGCTTTCTGTTTTATTTTCTACATATATAAAAGTGCACAAATCATAAATGTACAATATTCACCAAGTAAACACACCTCCAAGTCAAGAAATAAAATATTTCTAGTACTCCAGGAGCACTTCTTAAGTACCATCCATCCAGCCACAACCCCCATCCTCGCCCAAGGGAAACCACTCACTGATTTTTAACAGGACAGTTTGGTTGTAGCTGTTTTTAAAAACTATTTTATAAACCTTTAAAAGAATGTACCGTTTGTCTTCCTTCAATCAATATCGTGTTTATGAGACCCATTCGTCTATTATGTATTAGGGTCTGTTAATTCTCATTGCTATATAAATAGACCGTGGCTTATTTACTCATTCTTCTCTTAACAGACAACTTCCTGTTTGGGCTATTACAGATAGTGCTCCTATGAACATTGTTGTGCATGTTTTATGGATGTATATGTGCATTTCTAAGTAAAACGTCTGAGTCACTGGAATTGTACATTTAACTTTAGGAGATATTGCTGAGCAGCTTTCCAAAGTTCACATTCGTAGCATATGAAAGTTCCAGTTGCTCCACACGCTTGGCAACATTTTGTCTTCTATCGTCTTTCATTTTATCCATTATGTTAATTTTATAGTGGTATTTCATTGTAGTTTTGATTTTCATTTCTGTAATGACTAATGAAGTTGAACATCTTTTTATATATTAAGGAGCCACTTGCATTTTCTCTTTTACGAAGTCCCTGTTCAAGTCATTGGCCCATTTTTTAGTTGGGTTGTCTGCCCCCCACCTTTCTTTGGTCTTTTTTTCTCTTTTTTCTGTACATAATTTGACTACCTATTATACTCTGTCTTTCTTTTTTCTTCTACTTCTTCTTTTGGCTTTCTGAAAACTCCCCTTTCTCTTTATATTGTCAATACCATGAAGGCAAAATCAATGTTCTCGTCTTAGTATCATTCTCAGGGCCTGACACTGTTTTTCTGAAAAATCTGCTCAAAAATACACATTGATTTGCATTAGGAGATTCTCTTCATCTGCTGAATTAGCCCAAAGTTCTTGTCCTAGCAGTTTTTAAATAGGATTTAAATATGGTGAGAACCTCCTCTCTAGACATGTGGCAAAACCAGATTCAGCTCTGTGTGAGGAGACAACCTAAAGGATATGTTTTAAGTGTTAGGAGCCAAATTATCTCCTGTTAGAGTTGATGCTGCCTGAGTATCTTGGGAAAGTAAGAAAAATATGAAGAAGGTTAAATTATCTTTTTCTACCCTCAAAAAGAACTTCTCTTGTATGTGATACATTTCTATGCCTTGTACGTGATACATTTCTATGCCTTTTCTCATCTTGTTATATCTTCAATATTTTTCTCCCCCATATAAATTGTCATTTCACTTGAAAGTGTCTCTGTCATCTCCCTCCAATTTTCATCATATGGTCTAAACTATATTGCTATCCCTTCTGGAAGTATCTACATTGCCTTCCTTTACATCCATTCTTCTCACAATACAAGCTTTCCAATTCTATCTTCTCTGTCCTTGATTTATAAGTTAACCTCATTTATTTAATCTTTTCTTGATCGTTTTCTCATCATTAATCTCTTGCAATTGGGCTAGGATAAATATCTGCTTAATCTGATGGAAATATCTGAATCTAAATAATTTGAAAATGGTCTATTTTATTTTAGCATGTAAATTTTAATAGAATTTAACTACATAAATAAACGTCCATGTTTTACAATGTATAAAAAATAATAAAAACTTTAATTCTGGGGATTATAGCTTTACAGTTCTGATGGGTGCTGAGATCTGTAACATATGGTTACAATTCCGAGCAGCTCTTCTCTGTATCCAATAACCTGCCCCACTGTGAAGATATTTATCAGTGATCATTTTCACATGAATTTTTATTTATTTAGTACTTTCCAATGAGGAAAATTTAAAGGCCACATGGATTTTCAAGTTTGTCCAGCTATTGTCAACCCCAGGTACATGCTAGAAACCTCTAAGGAGTATCTAAAAATTAGTGGTATCTGGGTTCCACCCCAGACCAATTCATTCAGAATCTCTGGAGTGAGTCCCAGGCATCAGTATCTTATAAAGGCTCCCCAGGGAAGACTAACACACAGCGAGAGTTAAGAACTGCTGAGTCTATGGTCAAGAATATGAAGATAAGTAAAAAATGTTTAAAAAGTTCATGCTTAGTACTGCATTTAAGTTTGTAACTTTATGTCCTCAGAGGCGGGTGAGGGTCCTCTCTTTGGCCCAGTCTTGAAGTTCTGCTTGCCCAAATGTGACGTAAAAGACCAGGCCAAACATGTTGACTGCAGCAGACAGGAAAAAGACATTCCTCCAACCAGACTCAAAATCCTAGAGGTAAAAAACACAGAAAAATGATCAATCTCACAAGCTCCTTCTACACCAGTTCTAGAAGCCCTCCAAGTTGTGTATTGCAATGTTGATCACAAGGAATATAATGAACAATGTGCAGTAGCTACTTAAGAAAGTTTATGAAACTATTGGAAACAAAATGGCCAAAATGCACATCGGGTTCTGAGTTGAGATGGTTATTCCTTTAAATAAAAATAAAATACACTAATGTTTTTCTGAAAATTTGGATTTCAATGTATAATATTACTGATTTAAAATTATGCCTAAAATGGCACCATGGCATCGTGTTTGTGTCTTCTCTGTTTTTTTATTTTGGTTTGGTTTGGTTTGGTTTGGTTTGGTTTTGGCTGTTGACATCTATCACTACAACCCATCCCAATTCAACACGAGTTCTATTTGGTCTTCTGTGTGACCCTCCTCAGAAAGCCCTACTAAGTAATTTCCAGCATTATAGTCACAGTGGATTCCTAGCAGTTTAGTCAAATATTAACCTGGCAACTTGATCACGTAGAAATACAGTAAAAATAAAACTTCTCTTTGTAAGTTGGTTCTCGTCAGTCCTTCCATCCCTGACTGGGTCTGTCTTTTCATCTTCCTCATGAGCCTGCATTTCCAAACACTGAGAAATCCTCCTTGCAATGTCTCACAGCCAATCTCTTTTCAGCCATTAAATTGTCTTTAAACAGGACTTGGGATACTTTGTTTCCCTTTTGTGATTTTTTTAAAAATTGGAATTAGTCTGAACATATTCTTCATGATCTTCTTATGCCCTTCTGTTTTCATCTCTTGCTATTCCTTGACATGTGTCATTCATTCTATTCATAACTAAGAATTGTTTCATGCTCATGTACCTCTAGGAAGCCATACATGCTGTCTTCTGCACCAGAACAGCTCATTTTAATCAATCTCATGTCTATTCATCTTGAGAAAATAAGCTTATATTTTTCTTTCCCTGGGAAATCTGACCTATCGGAGTCTGATTTAGAGGCTCATGTAAACAGAGTAATTGTGTTGCCATCCAGACCTTGTGAGCACTGTGTGTATCTACAACACCTAAAACAATACCTGCCACTTGAAGATGTTCAATAAACTGGCCCAACCTGACTGATGAGGAATCCAGTGGCAGTGGAAGAGATGATTCCTGCGATGAGCCCAAATCCTCTTGAGATTCCCATGAGGAAACTTGCATATCTGTGGGAAGATGATTTTATAAATGATTTTATATAGAAAGCCACCTACAGGTTCTACAGCAACTCAACTTTAACACAGTTCAGCTCTTATGGCAAAGTCATTTTGCTTAATGCAGTTTTTCATTCACCTAAAGACATTCAGGGCAATGTCTATTTGCCAAACCTGAAATTACCAACCTATGGAGTCAATAACCAGGGAGCAATGCAGTCTCTCTGGGAACTGAGTTTCTTTACCCTGGCAGCTCAGTGCAGAAGCCAGTTTGTGCAACGGGCAGGACACAGACTCCAAAGCCAAACTCCCTGGGTCCAAATCCTGGCTCTGCCTCTATGTGACCATAGTCACACCATTTAATCTCCTTGTGCCTCAGCCTTCTCCCTTATAAAATGGGGATAACAATAGGACCTACCTAATGTAACTGTGAGGATTAGATGTGTTGATACATGGCAAGTCTTGGCACAGGAGCTGGCTTACTATGACTGAATATATATGTGGTAGCTAATATGAACAACACCATGGAAACTTTTCTAAATCACATGTGTGGGCCTTTTCCCAGCATACACAGTTCAATCTCTGTTAGGGAACCTTGGGAAGCTTTTTATCAAAATGATTACTGGCCAAGGCTGGAAATTGGTGTTCTAAAAATGCCACATTTGTTGTTCTAAAAATGGCCATAGACAAACATTTGTAGTTATTTGTCTCTCTGCCATTAGTGCATGTCAGTAACATTAAAGAGTTTCACGGTGACTACTAAGGTCTAACACCTCTGGAGGGGTCTGGAGGAGGGGAAAAAACAGGTAGAGCTCTTACCTGGGCGCGATATCTAAGGTGTTGATGATAAACCCTGAGTCACATAGGTTACTGGTCCCAGGAATAAGTATCAGCAAAATAATGGTTATCACGTAACTGGATGCCACAAAGGGCAGGGCCACAGCACATATTGATGGAAGGAGGAGCCCTGGGCAATGAGGACATGCTGTCAGGGAACCCTCTGAGACCACGTGCAGAAAAGGAATTGGTTAAATGAGCCCACACGCTTATCCTTACCAAGAGATGAGAAGAGCTTTCGCACAGTGATCAATCTGAGAAGATTTCTGGACAAAAGGAAATCTGCCAGCTGACCTCCTAGAATTGTACAGCTTGCAGCAGCAATAAAAGGCAGAGAGGACAGAACTCCACTCTGAAGGAAGGAAATTTATACAGAGTAGTTACAGAGATATGTTAGCACCAAAATTTATCAGTTACACAGACCAGCCATTAACTTACTCCCATGATATTGTGGGTTGTTTGGGGGAAAATTAGCATCATTTTTTACACTAGACGAACACTGTCTCAGATAAGAGGGCCAGAAGCTGCATCACTCTGGGCTCCAGAGAAAAGCAATATTGATTTCTTGGTTGTTTTTTATTTTTGAGATGGAGTCTCACTTTGGTGCCCAGGCTGAAGTGCAGTGGCACGATCTTGGCTCACTGCAACCTCCACCTACCGGGTTCAAGCGATTCTCCTGTCTCAGCCTCCTGAATAGCTGTGATTACAGGCGCCTGCCACCATGCCTGGCTAATTTTTGTATTTTTAGTAGAGATGGGGTTTCACCATATTGGTCAGGCTGGTCTTGAACTCCTGACCTCATAATCCGTCTGCCTCAACCTCCCAAGGTGCTGGGATTACAGGCATGAGCCACTGTACCCAGCCCAACAATATTAATTTCTAAAAGAAACTTTGGAATCAGCTGGTGTGTTAGTATAGCATAGTGGTTAAGAATACGGATGCTACAGCAGCTCTACCACTTAGTATTGTGCAACCTGAGGCAAATTATCTCACCTCTAAGTGTCCTGTTTCCACATCTGTGAAAAGGGAATTATAACAACACCTCTCTCAAGGTCATTGTGAAGGTTAAATTAATGGTTATATGTAAAGCCAGAATGTAATAGGTAACACAGAACTCTTTCTCCTTATTACCATTATCGTTTTCATAGAAGTATAGGAAGTAAACTCACATCTCTGATGTTAACATGGAGCAGAGTACTGATGTACGTTGGTAGGTATGTTAGGATGATGGTGCACAACCAGAAATGGCTGAAAAAACCCAGGAAAATGGCCCAAAGTGGTAGGCATGTGACCATCGCCTTTATGGGGACAGCACGTCTAGGAGAACTGGGCTAAAAAGAAATATCTAATCAGCATGAGTATTAGAGCAGCCAAGATGGTGCCTCTCGGAGGAGATCCACACCCTGCCCTAGAGACCTCTGCATGGGCCACAGGTACAAGGTGTGCACTGTACCTGTTGAACCAGTGAGGACACGATGTGTTCCTTTTCCCTAACACTTATGCATGGGTGATGCGTGGGGTCATCATAAATCACTGTGAACCATAGGAGACAGCAGACACAGCCAGTGCTACCTGGGAAGAAGGTATAAAAATTAGTTTTTAGGTAGATTTGTTTACTAGGGGAAGGGAGTTTCCTTGCACACTAATCAATTAATGCTTATTCTACCATAAGGACCTAAATGTTCCCATTCTTTCTTTCAATCCTTCTACAAACCTGTTAAAGCTTTTAAGATACTATGTCTCAATTAGAAAGCCACCTTTTGTCAATGTCAGAGCCCTCTGGAGATAACATGAGCATGGCATTGTATAGCTGATTAACTACTTTAAAGCCTCCAATGATTATAGTGTTATGTATTTTGAGCAGCAACTTCTTAATGCACACATAAATTGTCTTGTGGAAGATCTGAATAGTCAGGATTGCAGTCACACATACTCGAAACCACCTTCCATGAAATCATGTGGCAGGAAAAAATTTCCAATGCACTTACAAGAGACAGTGTTATTTGTATTCAAGCCATACATCCATTATGGATTCCCAAAAGAAATATTTCTGTACAATACCTGGTTAACATGCACAAACCAAAATAATTAACACCATTAATGAGAAAGCCATTCAGACCAGGACTATATTTAGTGATACCATTTGGCTATAACAACAAAATCAAGTGTAGAAAATTGTCTTATTATTGGAATTTGTTATTTGAAGAACATTCTATGTTAAAAGATTCTGAGGACTAGTTTTCTTTAAATTCCCTCTATTTACTGGATTCATTGATTCTTTTATTTTAAAGCTAAAAATCAGGCACTATGATGACACCCAAGTGATGAAAACATTATAGAATGGATTCCTTGCCTCAAGCATTTCACAGTTTAGTGGAAAGAAAAGGAGAAATAAATAATTACACACCAACATAACCTAGAGAGGAAATATCGTATATGAAAGAATGCCAGACTCTGATAGAGTAAGCCCTGGAAAGGCCCATGGGGAAGGGCACATTTGAATTGAGCTTTGCAAGATGAACTTGGTAGAGAATAGGTGAATGGCATCTTGGGCAAAAATAATAATTATAATGAAATATGAAGACACATTGAAGATGTACTTCACTATCTTTGACATCTTAACTGCATGTAACAGGCACTTTAGATGTGGTGGTAGAGATTCTGCAGAAGATGCTTAATATGGAAGCACAAGACTGCATCACAAGTCAGTGCCATGTGAATAGTCAACTCCTCTATCCTGTGCATGTGGCTTCCCAGAACCACCAGGAAGGTGTTAATCAAGTTGTGTGACTAGATTAAAAATGATACCAACTGTTGACATTTGTTATCATCTTCCATTTGATAAAGGACATTTTCTTTCATATAGGAAGAATGTGGGTGATGTAGGTGTCAAAACGGATGCTCAGGAAATGGAGGCATTAGAATTTAAGAGAAAGTGACTCACCAAAGATGTAGAAGATAAAAGGCCAGCCTAAGGCCTGTGAGATTAGTCCCCCCACACAGAGGATGATGAAGGATCCAAATGCTGACCCTAAAGGGAAGAGGGAGAAAAACACTTATGAAAATAGCAAAGGCTGAGACTTCATGGCCTCTCTAAACATTGTGCCAACAGTGAGGTGGCAGGCTTAGAATTATTGGGCAATGAGAGTAATTATTTCTGTTCACAGATTTTCCACAATAAAGTAATATGATATAATTAAAATTAATAAATAATAGTAACACACCCTCTGATTCTTCAATGACTCCTCAACACCAACGTGACCAAATCTAAATCCCTTAGTTTGTCACAGCAACTCTCTGCTATCATAGCCCATTAGTATTTTCTTGTGATTACAGTTGCATTCTTGTATGATCTAATATGAGGCTGGGGGCAGGAAATGAAAGACTTACAAAATTCAGTAAGATACAACCCCTGCCCTCAAAGAGCTTCTGGTCCAATTGGAGAGAAAAATGTGAATAAAATTGATTGTCACTAGTGAAATGCCATGTAGGCTTTGGAGTCTACATTTAAAAAAAAACCAAGAAACATAATTCACAGAGACCCATAGTAAGAAATGCATTTTACAGGGTATCATAACACACACACCAATATACATAAACACTTGTACACACAACTACACACATATGCCTCAGACAATGGTTTCATGAATCAATATTTAACTTTACCATGTCCAATGCACTCCAACAATTTCTATTCTATTCTATTCTATTCTATTCTATTCATTTTTTAAAATAATGATTTTAACACACTCAATGGATTTTATGACTCACTAATGGGTTCCAACCTGTAATGTGGAAAAAAAAAAGGTGTAAAATATAAATATGATAATAAAACTACACTGTGCATGGATGTAATAATAATAATTGACAATAATTATAAGATTTAGGAAGTTTTTACATAAGCTACACAATAGGAAAGATAGAATTTTGGCACAAGGAGCAGGGGCAAAGAACTTTCCAGGCATATAAACTAATGGGAGCAGAGCCAGAGGGAAGTGCAGTGCAGATCTGTATGGTGAGCAGCCAATGTCCGGTGCCACTAGAGCCATGCTTGCACAGAGGAGTTGAGTGGAATAAGGTTGGGGCCAGATGGCTGAGAACTTTTGTATCCATGCAATAAAGAGGTCAGTCTTTAGTCTGTAAACATGAAAGAACACATTGAAAATTATCAAGCAGGTGAGGAAAAATGCCTCATCTTTCCTTTAGCAAGATAACTTGGTTTTGGTGGAAAGAAAGTTGAAAGAAACCAGTCTAGAAGAGAGAGAGATCAGCAGATAGAAATATCAGCAGATATTTGCAAATAGAGGAGGTGGGGACAACTGTGATGGAAGGAAGCAAGAAAGCAGGAGGGTTACTTGAGGTAAAAGTCTGCAGGATGCAGCTGTGTAGTGGACCTAGGAGTGAGAAGCTTGATGGAATCTTAGTTCTGCTCTTCGAGTATATACTGTCAGCATGACGGGCTGGGAAGAATAGCAATGATAAAGTTGTAGAGGCCTTAGTAGGATCACATACCATGGAAAGGCAGTCTAGCATAGTGATTGAGAGTGTCTGCTCTGGGGCTAAAATTTGCACTGGCTTAAATCTCAGACCTACCACCTGCTGGCTATTTGTATTTGGGCAATTTTCTTAATCTCCACCTTCCTTAACTCCCTTCTCTATAAAATAAGAATTTAAAATAGTACTTACATGAAAGGGTTGTTGTGAGAATTAATTAGCTCACAATAGAATAGTCAAAAGCTTAGAATAATACAGAAACTACAGAAACTCCAAACTCTTCTAGCCTCATTTCTCTCCTTACCACTTGGAGCTGTGGTAGCCTTAATTCTCACTGCAAAATCATTGCTAAGATGGTGTATATATAGCTTACTTGATCTTTTTTCCATGTATGCAATTCTTAAAGGTTTAAACTTTTTCCTACAAGGCTTTTCTGACTACTAAGGCTTTTCTGAGCTGAATCCTAGCTCACAGTGGTTTCTTCTACTTCTAAGCCTCAATGTGTTTACTGTACAGATGCATCTTTCTTATATGTGATGCAACCGTCTTATATTGTTGAATTTTTCCGTAGTACTTTTTCTCCCTCTTCCCTAAACTATTTGATTCATAGATGATAAGACACAGTAGGATAGAACAGATGACAAAGCTATGACCCATGTGTGCACACTTACCTGATCCTGCAATGGTGGTGAGCTTGCTTCGTTCAAGTGGAGGAGCCCACTTTGCCCAAATAGTAAACTGACCTGTCCATGCCATTCCCTGAAATGAAAATCGTTAAGACCTTTGATATTTTGTAGAATTCAGGAATCTGGATCCCACCCATAATGAGAAAGTATCTGGATACCTGGGCCATGCCCTGGACTGTCCGAACCACAATGACCAAAATCACTCCGAAGTCAGCAGCCAATGGTGTAAAGAGGGTGAGAAGGGAAGAGATCAGCAAACCAGCACCAAGCATTTTTTTTGCTCCAAATATCCCTGCTAAATATCCACTTGGGATCAGAGTCAGTATTATCCCATAGTTGATGGAGCTAAAGATGATACCCTGAGTTTCTGGGCTCCACTGATACACAGAGGCCTGGGGGAAAATAGGAAAACTCTTTGTCAAGAAGTCCTATTATGAAAATCTACTTTACAGCCAGAGTTGCTTGAGGTTGGTGAGACCCTACTATAAAACATCTATTTTTGTTTTTCTCTATATTCTTCCTACCTTCCCAAACAACCAATTATACCCGTAATTTGCTTTCTTAGAAGGAGAGAAAAACAGAAAAAATGAAGAGGTAAAGAAAATGATTATATAGATGAATAATAGGAAGAAGTAAATGGAAGAAAACAATGAGAGATATTTCATCTGTGAAAGTGCTTCCTCTATTTTGCTTCTAGTAAAAGTTGAGTAACATGTTGACTCTTATATCAAAGAATTTTTAAAACACACACACAAAGCTTTACTGAACTCTTAACCAAAATCAGTACCTAATTAAAAAGAAAAGTCAAGTTTGGGAATTATAGTCCACCCTAGCTGAACTGAGTTTCTAAAACATATATTACAAATGAATAAGATCACATTCTTCTGATATAACTCAATAAATAATTTGAATTATTTTAAAATAACTACCTAAAATACCTGAATAATTATATAAGTTATATTACCTGAATATTTACCTAAAAATAAATAGATTTTAAAATAAATAAAATAAATAAATAAATAAATAAAATAGATTTTAAAATAAAATAAAAAATAAATGCAATAAGGCCCCTAAATAACTGGCATCATGCTATAAAGTAGAGATCCAAAGGATATAAAATATGATATAAAATATTTTACCCACTCAAAAAAACAATAAATAATACAAGGTATGTGAATCATGTGAGAATCAAGATATGAGGATGAATATAAAGGAAAAAGCAACTTTGAGAGGAAAAAGAATAATTCAGGAAGGTCCCAGAAAGGAAGCAATATTTGAACTATCCCTTGAAAAATGACTATGATTTATAGAAAGTCAAAAAGGAAAATTTTATCTCATTGGAAAAATTTGCAAAAGTGAACTTGTAGCATTTGGAAGAAACTAACAGGGACTCTGGCTTGCTCAGAGCAAAAACTTTCCATGGGTCACTGATAGCAGATGTGAGTGTGCTGAGAAGTAGGTCCAAATTCCGGAGGAACACAGCATGCCCAGTGAACACTGTATGTTTGACAACTTGAAGGTATCCAAAATACTTGAATAGTGAATCTACTCAGTGTGGATATGTAGATGGGATAATGGAGGAAAGACTGGAGACAATAAATTTATGTACTCATTGTAAATAAGCTGGGTCCAATGTAATAAAATCATTAATCATGAATTATAGTGATGACATTGGAAATGTACAGTACAAGATAATTTAAAGGATAATTTTTTTAATTGGGTAAATTCATGGTTTCCATATAAATGTAAAATAAGCATACAGAAAAGATTTTATTTAACTCATTGATTAATGGAGGGAATAAATAAGATGTTATAACTGGTTCAAAGGAAAACTCAAAGAATCACGCGTAACACAAGCAGGAAGCAATGCTGAAATATACTTTAAATATACAGCAGAGCCCGGTGTAGTGGCTCACATCTGTAGCCCCAACACTTTGGGAGGCCAAGGCGGGTGGATCACCTGAGGTCAGGTGTTCGAGATCAGCCTAGTGAAACCTGTCTCTACTAAAAATACAAAAATTAGCCAGCAGTCATGGCACGCCCCCTTAGTCCCCGTTACTCAGGAGGCTGAGACAGGAAAATCACTTGAACCCAGGAGGCGGAGGCTGCAGTGAGCTGAAATCACGCCACTGCACTACAGCCTGAATGACAGAGAAAGACTCTATCTCAAAAAATAAATAAACAAACAAACAGCAAAATTGGCTGATTTCAACTGGGAGGTGAGTGGAGAAAAGTTTTAACTGATTTTTCTCTTGGCAAAATTTATTTGCAAAGCTATGGACAAGAATTGTTTGCGTTTCTATTTGTTATATAGAATTTACAGGGTTATAAAATTGCTCAGAAACAGTAAACCAGGCAGAGAACTGGATAGGATTGAGTAACCTATAAGAATGTGCCCAGGTAATACCTAGTTTTTCATTGAAGACATCACATAAACTGTTCTATTTTTAAATTTTTCACTTTTTTTTTTTTTTTTGAGATGGAGTCTCGCTCTGTCGCCCAGGCTGGAGTGCAGTGGCCAGATCTCAGCTCACTGCAAGCTCCGCCTCCCAGGTTCCTGCCATTCTCCTGCCTCAGCCTCCCCAGGAGCTGGGACTACAGGCGCCCACCACCTCGCCCGGCTAGGTTTTTGTATTTTTTAGTAGAGACGGGGTTTCACCGGGTTAGCCAGGATGATCTCGATCTCCTGACCTCATGATCCGCCCGTCTCGGCCTCCCAAAGTGCTGGGATTACAGGCTTGAGCCACCGCGCCCGGCCAAAAATTTTCACATTTAATCCTACATTTCCCCCACCTTATAATCATAATAATCTCAATGAAATCTTATTTTTATCATAGAAGTAATCAATGTCTCAAAGAAAAATAGTTCCAGTCAGTTTTAGTTTGTCATTGGAAATGTATACTTCTATACTCCACAGAATCAAGATCTATGCCTTCCTTTCAAAGTTTTTTCCTCTCAACAAAGAGCCCTATTTTCTGTCATATTTACCTCTGTATCAAATTCCTTGATGGATATGCTGGAGTTATTGAGGGCGTCTGCAACAGGCCTCTCAGTGGAGGCATTAGTTAGAGCATGCTGCTGAGTGGTGTTCACCATGGCAATGATTGCAATGCTCAGACTCACACGCTGAGTTATCATGGTGAAGTTTGAGAAGTGCATGATAAGAGCCAGCCCATAGCGTAATGAACAGAAATCTGGACCTAGAGAACAACACACATGTATGCAATGAGCATCCCGACCGAGACCCCCTTCTTTTCCTTTCTCCCACAGCTAGATCTGATAGAACTTTGGATGATGTCATGAAATCTCATTGTCTTTTTTTTCACCAAAATAGCCAGCACTACAAACCCATTTTGTCAAATGATTTGGTTGGCTTCAAGACATTGAATATGGGATCTTATAACCAAGTAAAGCAAATATGGCTATCTTTCAAGGGGGTAGGAAGCAGATGATAAATAGAGAAAACCCAAATGTAAGGCATTTATGTCATATTGCTCCAAAACGAAGTGAATGGGGAAGACAGTGGCAGAGCCAGTCACATAACCGTCTCAGCATCAGTAAAATTCTCTGGGCTGTAAGTCAATAGTCCCATCTGTTATGCACATTTGTTTATCACAAAGCTTGAGAGTTTATACATAATGAGCTGCCTTTGAATTAAGGTATTGCACATCCAAGGATTCTCTTTTAATACATTTGAGAGATAGTACTTTAAAAGAACACTTCGACTAATTCCCTAGTGTAATGTCTACTTGGAAATGTTTTTGCTGTGTGTCACTAGGCCCTGCCTTCACATATGCTCAACTTAAAAAAATAAAAATTGCGTGGGGTGCTGTAGTCCCAGCATTTTGGGAGGCTAGGGCAGGAGGATCACTTGAGGTCAGGAGTTCGAGACCAGCCTGGCCAACATGGTAAAACCCCATCTCTACTAAAAATACAAAAATTACCCAGGCATGGTGGTGCATGCCTGTAATCCCAGCTACTCGGGAGGCTGAGTAAGGATAATCACTTGAACCCAGGAGGCAGAGGTCGCAATGAGCCAAGATCATGTCGCTGCACTCCAGCCTGGGTGACAGAACAAGACTCAGTCTCAAAAAATCATACAATAAAAAAAAAAAAAATTAATGTGTAGAACTATTTTTACAAAGCTTGTAGGTGATGTGCTGCTGGAAGATATTCAATGTATTGAAAGGACAAATTTTTTCTTTAAAAGCATCCCCATAAAGTGGAACAACTACAGAGCAATATTGAAAGGGTTCCCATGTGCATGATAGATTGGATTTTTCCTGCTTATTTGAAGGAAAACACTAAAGCGAAACGAAGAGAAAACCTATGAAGACACAGATAAGAATATAATGGAAGAAATAATTTTTAATGGCCAAAAAAGCTCACAGATAAGAGTGGTGGTCTGGGAAATAATTATTTCCATTTTACTGGAGGTTTCCAAGCTCAGGAGAAAGAGCCAGCCGTTTGGCGAGAATATTATAGTAGGAATTAATACGTAGGTTGGTTTAAAATGAGTTTCCTGGGCCAGGCGTGGTGGCTCATGCCTGTAATCCCAGCACTTTGGGAGGCCGAGGCGGGTGGATCACGAGGTCAGGAGATCGAGACCATCCTGGCTAACACGGTGAAACCCCGTCTGTACTAAAAAACAAAAACTCAGCTGGGCATGGTGGTGCATGCCTGTAGTCCAAGCTACTCAGGAGGCTGAGGCATGAGAATCACTTGAACCCGAGAGGCAGAGGTTGCAGTGAGCTGAGATCACACCACTGCACTCCAGCCTGGGAGGCAGAGCAAGACTCTGTCAAAAAAGAAAAAAAAAGACTTTCCCAAAACTTATTCCACTCCCTAGATCCCAGGATGTATTGCTTATTTGGCTTAATTTCTGACGGATGACTTCACGGGTCTAAGGAAAAAGCAATAGGATTGGGGCTGGAGCTGGCTCCAATGTTACACTGGGAGTATCTTTACCAAGGGGCAGTGTGATGCAGGGATGTGTAAATGGGTTGGAATAAGCTTCAGCTTATTAACATAGCCTGCAAACAAGAGCAGTGGCTTTACCTTTCCTGGTGGCAGGCTTCCCGTCCATTTAGCTTCTGTGGGAAATGGTACCACGCTTTGTGGTGGAGTTTCCCTGTGCCCTGAATCTCTTACTACAACAGTCTTTTATCTATGGAGAGAACATAATCCAAAACATAATACACAAATAATTTCCCCTTGTTAATGTTGCCTCCTCTTAGCATCAGTAAAAGTTTTGACCCAACACAGCTCCATAACTTACATTTTATAGGGCACCACTGGTATGCTTTTGGTTACAGGATTGTTAAAAGGAAATCTGGCTATAAGTTCCAGCTGTGTGACCTAGAGTTAGTCATTTAAATTATCTAATCATTCATTTCCTCATCTGTTCAATGAAGATAAGGCTCCTTTCTGAGTGCAGCTGGAAGAATTAAATGAAAAATTGCATGTACTTTATTAAACCACACAGAAGCATGCAAAGGTGAGGAGTAGTATTGCTTGTAGCAGACCATAAGACAGGACAATTAAACTAAGCTCAAGAGCGAAGGAGTAAGGTTCCAGAACGGTCTTTCCTTTCATTCTGATGGTGTTTCTCTCCCCTCTGTACCACCAGAACAATGTTCCATGCGCCTTCGAACATGAAGGATGGCATTACATAACACTAATATGTATTACAATTAAAAGTTTAAAATGTTTATTCTCATATTTGCTACACATAATGTGGACACTTGATTGGACTGACAGTCTTCATGTCACCTAGAAAATTATAATGAACAGGGACTTCTTACTATAATTGTGAATAAATCCAGCTATTGTGACAGGCAAAGAGAATTCACAGCTCTAAATATGGACATGTTTAATTTCATATTTGTACACTAATCAAACTATCTTTGGGGATACATATATTTTGTTTATTTTAGGAAAAATCCATATCCTAAAAATATCGTCATTTTTCCATTCTTTCCTAAATTGAAGCTTCTATGACTTTACTTTTTAAATTTTTTAAAATCCTTGAAGACATCTGAAGCTTCTGTGACTTTAAAAACACATGTATCGGCTGGGTGCAGTGGCTCACACCTGTAATCCCAGTACTTTGGGAGACTGAGGTGGGTGGATCACTTGAGGTGAGGTGTTCGAGACCAGCCTGGTCAACATGGTGAAACCCCGTCTCTACTAAAAATACTAAAATTAGCTGGGTGTAGTGGCGCATGCCTGCAGTCCCAGCTACTAAGGAGGCTGAGGCAGCATAATTTCTTGAACCCAAGAGGCAAAGGTTGCAGTGAGCCAAGATCGTGCCACTGCACTACAGCCTGAGGGACAGAGCAGGACTCCATCTCAAAACAAACAAACAAAAAACACATGTATCAAACCTATATTTTGTCATTCAAGGCTTTGCACTGCTTTTGCACACAAAACTTAAAAGACTTGTCCATACCTTTAAAGATATTCCTAATCTGTGACCTTAGGCTGAAGGATTATAAGGAAAGGCATAAATGAAAAATTTTGTCCAAAAATATCCTTTGTAGTATTACTCATGACCGCATAATGTTAGAGATAAATTAACCTAATAATGAGAGTCTGGCAAGTCAATTTGATAGATTATTGTGATGGAAGCTATTTTAAAATGTTTTCAACAATATTGAATTACATTAGAAAAATGCTAGTACTCTAGTGTACAAAGCAGGGTGCGCTATGCATGTCCACATACAGGAATAGAAACTGATTCACACAAGTGCCGGTGATGACTATTTCTGGGTTACAAAACAGGATGGTTACTTCATTCTTTGTGATTTTCTATATTTACCAAGTGATTTTGTAAATAATTAGTAGATACTCATTTTATATTCAGAAGTAGCTAAATGTGTTTAAAAGAACAATAATTGGACTTCATCAGCATGGCAAGTATAGTTTTCTGCTTTCCAAGTATCTCTAGAATTCTGAGAATAATGTCTCTCCATCTAAATTTTGAATTTTGGGTGTTTGGGTTTTTGTTGTTGTTGTTATTGTTTTGTACAATGGACCCAAATGGAGGCCCAATTGCTAGTAAGATCAGGTCAGCACCAGGATAGATACTGGTTGTTGCTTTGCTTTAGAAAGCCTTCAAGTCTTGCTAACATCTGGACATCAGGAGTTCAGCTCATTGCTCTACACTCAGATCCTAGCTGAAGTCACCTGTGGTCAAACCCAGAGTTTGGACCGTTTTCTATTTGATTTCACTTTTTATGCAAGATCCCATGGCTTGGCTGAAGGCAACTCTTTAAATGTACATGCAGCTGCAATTACTTACACTCCACTTAAAGCTTTCCCACCAACTTCTCCAATCTTATAAACACTGAAAGCTGAAAGAGACTCAGAGATCCTCTGGCCCAACTGTTCATTTTATTGATAAGAAAATTTGTGTACGGAAAATTTGAAAAGTTGCCTGAAACCACATGTTGCACAGAGCCAGCACCAGATCCCCTAATGCCCAGACTGCTGTTTGTTCTACCTATTAATACAACTTCCCCTTTATTTTCATAATATTTTAAGCACAAGCTTAAAACTCAATGGGATAGCTCCATTTTGAGGTATTATACAGGAGAATTTGTACATTTTAAATCAAGTTCCAATCATTTATTCTAGAAGGAAATTTGATGATGAAAAATCCCTTTAAGTTGAGCTTTGAATATTAAACATAAACACAACAAAACTACTTCTCCTTGCTCTTTATGTTACTGGAATTGTATCACAAACCCATCACTTCAGTTTTTCTTCCCATTCTCTCCTGCTGTCTAATGAGAAGGGATGAAAAGCCCTACTTAAGTTTTATGGTTTCAAATGCTACTTTGATTTTGTATCAATAGGTAATTTCAGTTCTTCATTTCCTATTTTCCTTTGCATGAGACAAATGCAGAAATCAGGCTAACATGCCAAACCATTCTAAACTGAAGTCTTTCATAGTAATGGGAAATATTTTTCCAAAATAAGCACAGAAGCTAATAAAATTATAGAGCCTGAACACTGGCATGGTTGATATGTAGTTAGAGACAGTGGAATAATTATTAGCCTATTTGCAAACAATTGAGAACATGTAACAGTGTCAGAACCCTTCCCTTTAAGGAGCTATACCTCTAAAAAAAAAAAAAATTGTGAATTCTAGTGCCAAAGTTGTAAGTAGACACAGGAAACTGAATTGAAATTAAGTTAAAGGAAAATGTTATATTAAAAACAATTACTTGACACAGTATAGGTTGAATTTGAGAAAAAAATCAATAATGTACATATTATGGTATATGCATAAGTGAAAAAACAGGTTTTCCCCTTTTTTTAAGTCTAGAACTCATGATTTTATTATAATTGTTGTTAGATGGCTCTTAGATTCTCCTAATATCCAGCCTGTCTTGCATCATCTCTGTTAGCCCAGTGTCCTAGTTTACTCAGAGTAAATGTTACACCTAGATCAAAGAGCATGAACCTGCAGTTGGGAGGGTATTCAAGGACTGAATTCTGCTCTGCCATTCCCAAATTGAGTAAACCAGGTAAAGTTTCATAAACTCTCAGGACTTGCACTGTTTTATGGGAAGAATTGGGATAATGTTACTTCACTGAGCAGTTTGGAGTGAAAACAAAGCTATGAGACATGCCTCAAAATTGCCGGGCAAAAACACTAGGAAGTGAATATGGGTCTGAATATGGGTCAAAAAACTAGCCGGGCAAGGTGGCGGGCGCCTGTAGTCCCAGCTACTCGGGAGACTGAGGCAGGAGAATGGCGTGAACCCGGGAGGCGGAGCTTGCAGTGAGCTGAGATCCGGCCACTGCACTCCAGCCTGGGCGACAGAGCAAGACTCCGTCTCAAAAAAAAAAAAAAAAAAAAAAGAGACATGCCTCTAAATTGCAAAGTGTTAAACATTGTATAATATTCTAGATACTAGCAACAGCAATAATAATAAACAGTCACAATATTGGTAGTCTGGCCCTCTCAGATCCATAAGTACAGGCCTACAGCAAATGAAATATATTTCTATAAAAGTGCCTTCGATTGGTTGTTAAATTGGTTTTAAATGCTACTTTTCAAAAGTGGATTCTTCTAGCCTGGAATCCACAAGATGAGTGGGGAGGGGTTCACCAGAAAACACAGGAAGAAGCAATTCCTTCAGTGTGAGAAAAACTGAGGGCCCTCTCATGAACTGCCTATCTTTCTGAGAAATTGGTGCTGACCACAATGTCCCTGGGTGCCTTTTCTTAGCTGTACAATGAAGGCAACAAGCTAGGTGATCTCTCCAAGCATACAATTTTCTTGCCTTCAGTCTTATTCATCTTTGGTCATGTTCTCTTTCTTTTTATTATTATTATCTAACTCTGTCACCCAGGCTGAAGTGCAGTGGCATGATCTCAGCTACTGCAACCTCTACCTCCCTGGTTCAAGCAATTCTCCTGCCTCAGCCTCCTGAATAGCTGGCACGTGCGCTAGGCACGCACGTAGGTGCACGCGCCATTACGCCCAGCTAATTTTTGTATTTTCAGTGGAGACATGGTTTCACCGTGTTGGCCAGGCTGGTCTCAAACTCCTGACCCCGAGTGATCTGCCCGCCTCAACCTCCCAAAGTGCTGGGATTACAGGCGTGAGCCACCGCACCCAGCCATGTTCTCCTTTTCCTGAGGGACTATTTCAAATTCATATAGAAGTCTGAAAAGACTCATTAGCCACAGTCCCAAACACAAATCTTGTCAGTTATGATCAGCATTTCATCCACAGCCAAACCCAGTCCAACTAATCACAGCATCACAGTTAATACTCACAGCGTCCTTGGAGAAATGACCATTGTCCACAGTGTCCATTGGTACCAGTGGCTTCTCAAGCCTTGCCCTAGGGTCTTGATTGAATCAGTTATCTTTTTCAGAAAGTCTCTTCATTTTGGAATTAGGCAATATTACCAGATGGAGATCCTTATGTTGCTGTTAGTGTCTTTTCTCTGACTTCTCCTAAAACTGTTCCCTCCCCTTAATGGACCTTTGGTAAGTTATTATCCTTCTACCCATAAAGAAGAAAAGCACTTACCTTCACCATTAAACCAGTATTTTAAGCCCTAGACTATAAGGCTAACTTGGAAAAGGAGGGAGTTTTCTGTCCCTTCTTCCCTTTCAAATACTTTTGCAGGGTTTTACAGGGATAAATAATGAGCCACCTGGCAGTCAGACAGCACCAGGTTTGGCCCCACTTTCTCAGAAAGCCTCGGTTGGGCTTTGCTGCTTAATTTTTAACTTCATTTTCAAGTTCTCACTGTTAGAGTATCTCAAAAGATGTCATTGCGTGTTTCTGCTTTGAACTGTGCATACAACCATTCAGTCAACAAGCCTTTTTTTCTGAAAGCAAGGGGGCATGGTGTGGAAGAAAGGGCAGGGCTCCTGAAATCAGAGATGGAGTCAGACCCATATTCACTTCCTAGTGTTTTTCCTGAGCTTGGACAAGTCACTGAACTTCTTTGAATTGGCTTCCACTTTAGTAAAGCAAGGATTGTGATACTCTACTCATGGGGTTATTGAACAAATGAAATACATATGCTAATTGGTAGTAGCTCTTCAATAAATGAGGTGTTCATTCCTCTTTAGGAGTTCAGTTAAGTCAATTAGATTTTCCATATGCATTTGATGCCCACAGCCTAATGAATGTGAACCGTGACTACCCTGGCAACTTCCCAGGAAGCTGCATTGTAGCCCTCCTTCCTGTTTCATATCATGCATGTCTTTCTTAATCCAGTTCCTGCTTGGCTCCTGACTCTTGGAATTGTGTCCTATTTGTAATTATTAATTTTGAGACTGTGGTTGCTATTGGATTTTCTTAGTGTGATGCAACCCTTATAAAATGAGGTGAGAGCCTTCCCTCTATGGCTTTATCAGCTTCAAACTTCCTTAACTGAGTTCCCCCATCTTAGTGAGTCTCAGCATACTCCCCACATAACCTGCTGGAGTAGGCTTATCCTACTCAACTCCTCAGATCTCTGTATTTAATTCTATTTTATTGCTGTTGTAGTAAATTACCGCAACTGTGGTGGCTTGAAACAACACACAATTATTTATTTATTTACAGTTCTAAAGGTCAGAAGTCCAAAATGGGTTTCGGTGAGCCAAACTCAAGGTATTGGCAAGGTTGTGCCCCCTCCAGAGGCTTTAGGGGAAAATCCATTTCTTTTTCTCTTCAGCTTGTAGTGACCACTGCATTTTTTGGCTCTTGGCCCTTCCTCCACCTTAAAGCCAGCAGTGTGACATCTTCAAGTATTTTTCTCTTATTCTGACTCATCTGCCTCTCTCTTATAAGGACCCTTGTGATTCTTGTGATTACACTAGGTCCCATCTTCAAAATTCAGGAAAATCTGCCCATCTCAAAATTCTTAACTTATTAAACATGTAAAGTCCCTTTTGTCAGATAAGGTAATATATTTATAGGTTCCAGGGATTAGGACATGGATGTCTTTGGAGGACAACATTCAGCATACCCTTTTGAGGGACAGAAGGGTAGCAGGAAGAGTTGAAACAATTCCTTCCTTTCTTTAATTAAAAATTCTGGTGATTGATTTATTATAGTTATCATTTGCCTGATAAGCCAATGAAAACAGTCATAATGGTCAGGGGCAGTGGCTCATGCCTGTAATCCCAGTACTTTGGGAGGTTGAGGCAGGAGAATCACATAAGCCCAGGAGTTCAAGACCAGCCTGAGCAACATAGGGAGAGCCTGTCTCCACAAAGAAATGCAAAAAATAGCTTGATATTGTGGCATGTGCCTATAGTCCTAGCTACTCAGGAGGCTGAGGCAGGAGGATTGCTTGAGCCCTAGAGGTCAAGGCTGCAGTGAGCTGAGATTGCGCCACTGCACTCCAGCCTAGGCAACAGAGCAAGACCCTGTCAAAAAAAAAAAAAGAACGAAGAAGAAAAGAAAGAAAAGAAATGAGAACTTTCTTGGCTTAATTTACCCAAAAGGTATGATATTTTCTTAATTTGCATCAAGGCAGAACATGAGCCGGTACCAGTTCTGGTAGAAAAAGTAACTGAGACTGGATCCCCCAAACAAGAGTAAATATTTAATATAATCAGGAAAGAGTGGCCGAAAGTGTTCAATGCCACAAGTAAGATTCAGAGTAGGTTCTTCAAACTGCATAATTTGTTTAAAAAGCATAATTTTATAGTTGGATTTTGCAAGCTCTCTGAAGGGATCTTGTTCATTTTGAGAATCACTACATCCACAATTCTTGGCACAGTGGTATGTGCTATGTCCTATGGTATGTGCTATGATCGAAATGTACGTATCCTCTCAAAACTCATGTTGAAATCCTAACCCACAAAGAGATAATATTAGAAGGAGGGGCCTTTGGGCAGCAGCTATGCCATGAGGGCAGAAACTTCATAACAAGGATTAGTGTCCTTATAAAAGAAACTCAAGGGAGTTTATTCAACCCTTCTGCCATGTTAGGATTCAGCAAAAAGATGGCTACCTATAAACCAGTAAGCAGGTCCTCACCAGACACTAAATTTGCCAGAGCCTAATCTTAGACTTCCCACCTCCAGAACTGTAAGAAATAAATTTTTTGTTGTTTATAAGTCACCCAGTTTATGACATTTTGTTATAGCAATCTGAACAGACTAAGACAGTGTAGGCTTAATAAGCATTAGTTTACTGAATGAATGAATTCTTGCACTGGGTCACCACCAACAATCAAGATCTCGGTAGCTGGTTTAAACCCCTCACTCCCAATCATGATTTTCATGTAACAAAGTCAACTCAGTTAAATCAACTCAATAAGGTATATACATTTAATGAAATTAAGAAGTTATATCTGTAACATTTATAAACATCAAGAGTAGTGTCCAGAGAAGAAAAGTCCAGAGATCCTTAAAAATTTAAGTCTCTCTGGCCTGACATTAACAGCTAAGGCAGGAACTGAAAACCAAACACCACATGTTCTCACTTAGGAATGGGAACTGAACAATGAGAACACATGGATACAGGGCGGGGAACAACACTCACTGGGGCATGTTGGGGGAGGATGGGGTGGGGGTGGGGAAGAGCATTAGGTAAAAGGGCTAATACATGCTGTACTTAATACCTAGGTGATGGATTGATAGGTGCAGCAAATCACCATGGCACACGTTTACCTGTGTAACAAACCTGCACATCCTGTACATGTACCCAGGAACTTAAAAAATAGTAATAATTTTTTTAAAAACAGCTATTCCCAATCAGAGCAGTTCAATTCCATATTATTATTATTATTATTATTTCGAGATGGAGTCTCACTGTCGCCTAGGCTGGAGTGTGGTGGGACGATCTCAGCTCATTGCAATCTCTGCCTCCTGGGTTCAAGTGATCCTCTCACTTCAGTCTCCTGAGTAGCTGGCATTACAGGTGTGCACCACCACGCCCGGCTAATTTTTGTATTTTTAGTAGAGATGGGGTTTCATCATTTTGGCCAGGCTGGTCTTGAATTTCTGACCTCATTTGATCCTCCTGCCTCCACTCCCAGAGTGCTAGGATTACAGGCTTGAGCCACTGCGCCCAGCCACCATACTATTTTTTTTTTTTTTTTGACAAATTTGCTGTATTCTAGACATGGCATTAGCTTCTGAGAATATTAATTTATTAAGATCTGACCCATGACATGACTTCACAGGAGTTCAGAGTCCACTGAGTGAAACCACACACACAGAGAGACAACTAGGATGAAGGGTGATATACATGAACAATACGAATTTGCACTGGTAACTAGAAAAGAACAAATGAAGACGCCTGCCAACTAGGAGTATCAGGGGAAGGCTTCCCAGGTGGAACAGGCCTGTGCCAGTCTTCATGCGTGGTATGAATAAGTCAGTAATATAGGGGAAGCACCTTCCAGAAAGAGCAAATCCATTGAGGCTTGGTGTGAGGAATAAGAAGTGTTCAACATGACTGGGGATTAAAGTACAAAGGTATAAAGGAAATGTGGTGAACTGACTGGAAAGATGAGAATTTTTTTTTTAACAGTTACTTTTCCCAATAGTAGAATTAACTAGACAGGAATAGAAATACAAAGAAGTTTTTTTTTTTTTTTTTTTTATGTTCCTTAAGAATGAAAACTAAACATTTTTTAGGAATTATAAGAACAAGGAAAATGTGACTCAAAGGCAGAAAATGATAAAATTTTATTAAAGGGCAGAAAACAAGATCTGACTAAATTGAACTAAGTACTCTACTATGCTATATCATATGCTATATTCTTCAATGGGAGAAGTAATACCATAAAAACTATTGATTCTTCTTAAATTAATAAACACCTTGAGTGAAAATACAAGTGGAAGAAGGAAAAATGAAAGACAAACTGGAAATAGCCCAAATTTTCATCAGTGGAAGACTGGGTACATTGTGATACATAGTCATTGCAGAAAAATAACACAGTTAAAAGAATGAATCACATCTATAACATTTGACCTGGATACTTTTATATAACGTAATACATTTTTAAATGAGTAAAGCAGATACTAAGTACATATAAAGGGACTCCATTTTTTTCTGAATATTAATCAAGAAAATTCTATATATTTGTATCTTTGTTTACATAAGACTGTATGAGTCATACTAGCTGTTGACTTGGGTTATCAGGTTTGGGTAAACAGTTTAGTGGTAAAAAAAAAACTGTGTAAGACTTGGCCGGGCACAGTGGCTCACATCTGTAATCCCAGCACTTTGGGAATCTGAGGCAGGTAGATCACTTGAGGTCAGGAGTTTGAGACACTGGCCAACATGGTGAAACCTCGTCTCTCTAAAAAACTACAAAAATTAGCCAGGCATGGTGGCGCACACCTGTAGTACCAGCTACTCAGGAGGCTGAGGCAGGAAAACTGCTTGAACCTGGGAGGTGGAGGTTGCAGTGAAGTGAGATCGCACTACTGCACTAAGCCTGGGCAATGAGAGCAAAACTTCGTCTCAAAAAAAAAAAAAAAAAAAAAAAAGTAAGACTTAGCAAAAACATGACCACAAAAAAGCAACATTTATAGACTATGGATGTAAAACTATATGTGTGTGTGAGTGTGTACACATGTGTGAATATACATACATTTTTGTCTGTATGTGCATATGTATATACATGCATGTATGTGTATGTGTGTGTGTGTATATATATACAAGCCATTTTAATTGTTTTCGACAATATTGAATTACATTAGAAAAATGCTAGTACTCTGGTGTACAAAGCAGGACGCGTTGTGAACATCCACATACAGGAATAGAAACAGATATATACACATACACACTACACACACCCCTATACCCACACCAAATATACATTGAGAGAGAGAGATAGAGAAAATAATAACTAAGGTAGTTACTTCTGGCCACAAGGATTTTTAGATGAATCTGACTTTCTTCCTTAGGTTTTTTTTTTTTTTTTTTTCTGTATTGCTTAAACTTTCACACAAATAGCATTTATTTACTGTATAATCATAAAAGGCAAAAACCTATTTTGATTTTAGGAAAACACAAAGAATCCAAACCAAAAATCTCAACTTACGAAATAGTGGGAAATCTGGGGAAGAAATCAACAGGACCAGGTCATGAGGGCCTTTTATGCAATGTCCAGGAGCTTGAACTTTATCTCATGGTTCCTATATTTCCTCAAAACAAATGCGTGTGGACGCAGAAATGGAAATGCACAGCAGTGCACTGAGGTCACAGAAAAAACACAAAACAGTTTTTCTGAAGTACTAACTTCACTCAAAACTTCGGGAAACATTTTAAAAATGGTTTTAAACAAATTTGACTAAATTTGACAAATTTAGTCAAATGTAAAATTTTCATTTTTAAAAGGAAATAATTTTAGACACTCCTAGCTGAAAAGTAAATGCTACTAAGAAACTTAATGTGGGGATCATAGAATGAAGCCAGACTTTTGTTCCCAAGCAGGAGACAGATGCAGATAAGCAGGAATGAGAACGAAGTAAGG